AAAAAAAGAACATGCATACTGCAGTTTTACTTTCAACTCCCAGTTATGTGTTATTTTGAGCTGTGCAGTAAAACCCAGCAATATAAATTCAAAAAGCATTCTGTGGTCCTAAAGTGGAAAATAATAAAAGCATGAAGCCAACTAGTGACCTTCCCCAGAGAATAAAGGTCAGAAACAAAACACTTCAGGCGCCATATGGAGGAAGTTATGAAGATGAATATAAACTTTGTCCTGGATTCTCCATGCCTGGAAAGCCTGAAGATCCAACCAACCTTAACAGCTGAAAATCTACATAGATTTGCATACAAATGAAGGCTGGTGTGACTCTGACCTAGTTGGGACCAGAGAGGACGGAAACCTTCCTGACAGGTTCTCCTAGAGCACTGACCAAACATGGGCTGTTTCTACAGTGCAATGAAAGCAAACAGCTAAAGTTACAGTAGCCTACTTTAATTTAAAACTAGCTAAGTTTGAATACAAAAACAAAACAGCATTAAGTACTCTCCTTTCTTCCATTTTTCACAACAGCCCTCTGATTAAATGCACATAAGGACAAAAATAAATAAAATTCTAAACAATTCAAAGCAAGATCTATACTTGAAATCAAACTGAACCAGAATGAATTGGACATTTACAGAAAATACAATTCAGTAAATAATCTTTCAAATCACCTGGGGATTAAAAAAAGGTAAGGGTTGAATGAAAGTGATACGATAACATTTAGTATCCTGAATGTTAATGCTATTGTAAACTTGTTTAACTAACAGAGAGAAAGATGGAGAGACAGTGACTATCTTTTATTTTAAGGTCAAATCCTGAACTCTTGAAACATACAATACCGCCTTAGCTTCCTTTTAAAAAACTAACATTGTTTACCGACAATAGTGAGGTGGGTTCTACTCTGAAACAATGAGGTCAAGTTTTCAAACACGTTTCCATTGAGTTTCAAACATAAAGTTTTATTGTAGATTTAAAACAGTAAGGATGGAAATGAAATGATTGGAGGTACTGGAATGTTTTACTGCATTTATCTGGTGGGATATATTCTAATATAACAGCTGTGATGAAAGTTGACAGCATTAAATCAGGAACAAGGGCTGGCTGGTTCTAATGCATTCATACATTTACCTCTGAATTCAGTATTTGAATATGAAAATGATTTAACACCTAGATTAATCCTATCTGTTCCAAGCATGTAGATAGAAAGATTTAAATATCTATGAAGGGTCTGCTGTTTTTCCTTTTAGCTTAAACAGTTTTTATCTCATCTGAATGAGCCATTTTTACAGCTGCGCAGTGTTTTTCTTTTCCAGAGTTGTTTTTATTCCCCATTGCTGTACAGTCTATTTTTAAATTTTATATTTATTTTATTTTTGTTCCCTTTCATATTTTATAACCTTCTGTGTACCTGTAGGCTTTTATTTCCATTTTCCTTTGCCCAGAAAATAACCTTTGTTAACAACACAAGCAAATTCTGCATTTTAAGCATTTTAAGCATTTACATTATAAATATATATATTTTTTTCAATACTGCAACACGTTCTCTTAGCAGCTGCTCTAATTTTGTGAAATACATATATCTGATTTTCCGTAGATTATATTCAGATTTTTAAGGTTCTCTCTGTAACTTTGTTCCCCATTTCAATAGGGATACACAATTAGCCCATGCATTTGATGCAATCACCCAGCACCTCACGGTAAATGTGTTGTTCTTATTTCTTATTCTTTATTTTTTTCTTTTTATGGCACGATACGAGAAACTTAAAAAAGGTTTAAATATTTTCTCATATTCCTATTTTATTACTTTTTTTTTTTATGTATGTGTAATTTGTTTAGAAACTATTTTTCTTGGTTCACCATTTACATAGAACACCACAACATGTTTGCTCAAGAAAATCTTCTAATCTGATAAATATTTGGTTTTGCTTTCAGTCTACTGGATTGTTGACAGCATAAAGAAAAAAATCTACTGATTCAGAAAGTTGTGTGAAAGCTGTTAAACCAATGAAAAGCATGTTTGCTGAAGAGGGCTTAATCTTTCAGGGCTACAGATTTAGACCATCTTAGCTCAGGCTCAAGAAATTCAGCAGACGATGTCACTCATTCAACTAAACAATGCAACCTTATAGAGGAATAGCTGTTTGATAGAAATTGTGCATGTCTTGTTTTTTAGTAACTGATTTTAAACATATTTTGTTTTGTGTCCACTAACTTGTTTTTTAACACCTAACTGTCACACTAAACAGACTGACTTGGAGGTGTGGTGTCTATATAAAAGGTAAATAAACACATAATATGAACTGCCCTGGAGCCCTTATTTCTAAATGTGACAAAAATCGTACATATTTCAGAATAACAAGCTATGCAAACGTTATTACTGCAACTTTGACTGACTGGAGCAGCAGGGACATAATGAAGTTTGCGAGAGAACAGCTGGAAATATATCCGGGAAATGCAGAACAGTGTATAAAAGTAGCACTGAGATTAAAAGAAGCACATAGGCAGATAGCACAACTCACTTTGACACATTTCTATGCTGCTGACCTTGGTGCTGTCTGGGAAAAAGGTGCATCTTCATAGAAAATTGCCTCAGCATGTGAGAACGGTGGGGATCTTCTAGTTATTGTGCTTGCTTTCTTTGTTTAGTTTTGCAGAGAAAGGTTTTTATATGAAATTGCATCACAATGGAAGCAATTTTACAACATGTCACTGTGAAGGGTTGAACAACAGACCTGTGCACATTTCTACAAACCATTTTAAGGCTGTATTTAATTTGTTAGACCTGGTCACTATATAAAGGCCTACAGTACAATATTGTTTTTCTAAGGAGAGAGCAGGGAAGGAAAGACTTTAACTCCTATAATCTAATTGACTGATCCTCAAATACATCTAGCCTTTAAAAGTGGTACATTCATAAGCCAACAATTGTATACAGAGCCTTATTCTTTTTGCCTACTGTAAAACCTCCTGTATAAAGAAAAATGTTTCATTTATCACTTAAGTCTATGAATCACGATAAGCAAAACTTTTACATGGTTTCTGCAATGCAACATAAGGCTGATCAGTAAATAATGTCTATCACTGAGTCATTAGCCAAAAGATTTTACATCATGTTATGACATATTTTCTAGAACAATTTCAACAACTGTCTTTTGCAAAGTAGCATTGTGTTCAAAAACAAAGAAACTAGAAACAAAACCCTACTTCGTGTCATGATAATGAAAACAAAATGTTTAAGAGAAATTATTGTCCAAATTTGGAAAATTGGCTTTTTTGAGATTTAACAGTTTGCCACAATAACATACAGAGTATTAAAAAAAAAGTGGAAATGTAAAGATTTCATCTCACCACTGCACCCTTTTTCAAAGTGTTGTATATTCCCCAAATAATACAACAATTAGGGAAATATTTATTTTACCCCACACCACAATTAAAAATTCCAAAGAAAAATAAATAATGCTACCGTAACTTACTGAATAATCTATAAACTATTTCCTTGCACATTATGGCTATATACTGTGGGTTTAATTGTTTATGTACAACATTAGGTTTGATGCATGCATATTCTGTCATCACTCTTTACTACTAAATCGGTTACTACAAATGGTGTGATATATAAGGATGTGGCAGTGTATGCCAGCCACCTGATCCAGCAAAGATATCAAAACTAATCTGAAGAAATGGAGAATGTAAAAGTAGTCATGGCTAGAGAAAAATATAGGGTACTAGTTTTACAGAGAGAGTTGGAAAGCTGTTGGAAGATCAAGCATCTTTATGGGTGATATTTCAAATAAATCAACCTGCTAAATTAAACCCACCAAGCCATCTGTATTTATTATAAACAAATAAAACCAGTTATTTAACTATATGATCTTCAGTGCAACTTTTTTCCAAACCAAACTCTCAATGAAAAATTTCAATTAAGGATGCATTAACCAATTAAAGAGCTTTAGTACGAGAAATCTGTTAAATCAAATGACAATGCCGTCCGTCTGTCCATCGACCCTTACAGGACTAAGTGGGAGAAAATGGATGGATGGATGGAGAGGTGTCCAGTCTGCCGCAGGCCAAATGATAATGTCCATTCATAAATAAAAAATAAGAATACTTTTGGCAGATATCCTAAATTTTTTGCATAAAAGTTCACTTGAAGCGACTAAAGAAATAATCGAATAGGAAGAAAAAATATATAATGACCAACATTTCTTAATCAGTCTTTGCATAAGCTACCAGAGGAAGAGAATAATGATAAAAGTTCTCACTGGTTTGTGTTCGGCATGCAATCAAAGACACAGCGTATGAAAATGAACCTCTTTAATGACCTGGGCTCTAATTGATCAAACATCTGTCTGCACAAAGCAGAGCATTGTGTGGCCTTGTGAAACCTGCATATGTCACTTTCCAAAAAGATTGTGATTTTAACAAAAGCAAACTTGGAAGTGGAAATGTGCCGGTCCTCACCCCAACTCATGCATATGGATACACAAATTTAGGAGAGAGGGGGAAACTGGCAACAAAGATGGTTACTGGGGGTAATTTAGGCCAGATTGCATCATAATATTTTTTTTTTCCCGTTTAATTCTATAGAAAATTATATATTTTAGTTTTGTTAAGTGGCTTGAAAAGCATAATTTTCAGCTTGAAACCTATTTTAGAGCAGCACTGCCAAACATCGTATTTTTCCTTTATTATAAGAAAGAAACATGATCCCATCTACATAATCATATGCAACTCACCATGTGTAGACGTTTAAATGAATAATTCAATATAATAACTAATAGCAAAAACCTGATATTCCATAAAATTCCATAAAACACTAACTCATAAAATGTAATGCATAGTTACATTTGATAAGTTACTTTCACTGAGCAGTAACTGAGTACATTAACATTTTTGAAGAGGTAATCACAACTATACAGTAACTAGTTATTTTTTAAATAACTACCACCTCACTAAATAGATGCATGTGTCATAGCATCACCTGAGGAAATCGGTCTTACCTTGCAGATCTTATACAATGAATCCTGCCCATCTCCATCAGATTCTTTAAAGTAGTCATGAGCTGGAAAAGTACGGTGGATGTCACGGGTGATGACGCTTTCCTGTGCAGAATCCTGCAACACAGAGGATTAATATTCCTTAGAAAAAACAAACACAGCTTAGTCTTCCCTTTATAAACTTTGATTTGGTCAGAATTTGTTTGACAAAACTATAGCACATCTTTTTCATCCCTATAAATATGTGCAAACATCATTCCCAACATTTTGCAAACATCATCACCAGTCTCAGTCAAGCAGCCAGTAAACCAACACTGTGCCTTGATTTAATTTGTAGAGATTTCAATTTATGTTTTTGTACTTTTAAGAGTTTTTGAAGATTTCTTTATACTTTTATCCAAAAAAAGAAGTTTATATACACAATTAGAATTATTGGTACCACACCTTTGTTCCCATGCTTATGTAATGAGTTCATAAGCCTCTGATCTATAGGTATCTTAATATAAGAATATCGGTGGATGTGCTTTAAAGGCATACAGTTTACAGCAGGTTCTATCAAATACAGTGCAAGGAAATATTGCCAACATTTTTAAGATAAGTATAAAACCAAAGTCTCTAAACCAAGACAGATGTAGTTTTACTATCATTTAGGAAAAAGTTGTTTTTTTTTTTATCTAAGGTGAGCTAAAAAAAAAAGGTAAAATTTAGTTTCTAGTTCTGTACAATACAATTGTATGACCTTATAAGAGGAGAGGGGCTGAACAATCTAACACTTAATGTCAATGTCACTTCACCATCAATATAGAAAATGTAGCTTTTTATTATAAAATAAGTACTTTTAACTTCTGTTTTGATAATCTGCTGTATGTTAGCTTATTTGATTATAACCACAAAATATAAGGCCAAGGCAAAATTATGCACCTGAAGAATTGATCTGAGCTGTCTATCCCATCCTTTTTTGATTGACTTATATATTATTTTTTAATGTGTTTATTTTCTATGCTTAATGTTCCCTTTTCACAGTGAAGGGTTTAGAGCTGCTGGCACAGCTGTGTGTCTGAACTGAGGAGGTGCTTTTTTCTGTATACTAAGTGTTAAGAGGTAGAAAAGCATTACTGGTAAAGATTTAACGACTAAGTACAACTATGACATTACAGTTACAACAAATAAGAAGGTCAAACTAACTTCCTTAGATACAGCGATGATACCACCCTCTGCACAATGTAGTATAACTTTATTATTCTATTTTGATTTCATATTCTTGCAAAATTCAGGACTTGAAAAAATGAAAGTAATTAGAAAAATATATACATGGCTTTATTTAAAAAAGTTATTCATATACAAAGAGAAAATAACTGTTTGGGGTTGATTTTTTTAAGATATTAAGTTCGTTGAGATAGGAACTTGCTGCTATAAACTTGATTTAGTTTTAAATGTTACAATATTAGAGCTACATACAGGTGAATATCACAGCTTTCTTGTCACAATGCTCTCCGGCTTAGTGCAGAAATTACAAAGGTTTGCTTAATGTGCTCCCCTCAGAACAATTTACTGAAGATTTATTCATTTTCTGTAAAAGAGGAAATTCTCTTCAGCTTTTTACAACATGCCACAGTGACGATGCTTCAGTGGAGAACGGAGCACATCATACTTGTTTCAAACCTAGAGCCTAAGACAAACAGCTACAGTATGGCTCAATCTAACTTGTATTTAATTAACGGATCCATCAAATTTATACCCATTTAATCCAGCTGTATTACCATGGCAACGTCAGCAAAGACCATCAAGAATGTGTTTGACAGTTAAAGTTGTAAACACTTTGATTTAATAAACCATGCATGCCTCTGCTAATTAACAGCCTCATTACTCAAAAAACACCAAAAAAAGAAGAGGACGTCCTCTACGCTACCTAATCCCATCCTTTCCTCTTTCATCCCTCCCTCCTCCCCTCTGCAATTTCTGTCAGCGTGGTCTTTTGTAGTATTCAGTCCCCAGTCTTTTGTTTCTTTTTCTTGCTTATCGGCAGCTTTTTCCACTTCCACTCTTCTCTATTTTCTACTTCATGTCCCACAGTCCCTTCGCTTCAGCCGCTTCATATATTTCCTTTTCAGCTCGTATACTTCCTCTCCTCTTGTTCTAAACGATTGCAGCATTGCCTCTTATTTGTCATGCAGACAGCAAGTAAACCATGCTATCCAAGTTCCCTTTTTTTTTGCAGGCTAACAAGAGAAAGCTCTTCCTAAAGAGTGATAGATGAACTCCTGATGAGATGAAAATACTGCAGAATATGAAATATAACCTATAAGTCTGAGTTAAATAAAACTAAAATACAGTCTCTCTGGTTACATTGCCCACAGTAGATGATCTCAGATAAGAACCCTGCTAACACCGAAGCGATTCTTAGTATTTTTACCCTTTCATTATTTTCTGGTTAAATATCTATTACATAATATATGCAAACTGGATGCTATAACATTTTTTTCCATTTTGTCACCTTATCAGCAATAGCTTCAAGGTATTTAATCAATGTAATGTTCTAGGCCAACACAAAGCGGTGCCTGATTGTGGAAGATACCTAGTTTTTAATATAATCAACAGATAATAATCTGAAAAGTGTTACATACATTAAAAATCCAACCAATAAGCCAATAGTTTTGTAAACCACATTTTGTTCCAATAATACCTGCAGATCCTTTTGTGCAAGTCTATACCAGCTATGCAAAATAAAAGACTGCAATATTTGTCCTTTCCTCTTTGCTAAATAGCTTAAACTTTGATCTAAATCATTCCATTGTAGCTCTTGGCTGCATGTTTTAGGTGACTGTCTTGCTGGAAGGTAAACCTCTACACTGACGCTTTTTACCTGCTGTCTCAAACAGGTACTTTTTTTTTCCTATTTTTGATTTTTATTTCCATTATAACAATATTTTTATAGTTACGGTTTATATTTTTTAATTAATGATCAATCTCATCCTTATAGCATCACAATGACATTTTTGTAGCAGCAATCAGATCAGAATTATAGAGCACCGTTAAAATCAAAATACTTGGAGAGGAGAGAGGATTAAAATTATTATTATTATTATTTATTTATTTATTTTTTGGGGGGGGCGGGGGGCGCTATATAGCAGCTGAAATCATCCCTAAAGAGAAGCATGAATATGGCCATATATGGGGAAAAGGGTGAAGTACTTACATGTGGAGCTTGTACTACAGTAAAGTAGCCAATGAACAGACATTGGTCATAAAAAGTACTACTGAGTGTCTACAGGGGAGGGATTGCCTTCACAGCTTCACGTCTGCTTGTTTCAGGTTTAGTGCAGCTGATCTGCCTTCCCAATAGAACTGGTACAAACAGCTCATTGCCTGGGAGGGTGGGATCTGTGGCAATGCATCTGGCCCTTTTCTAAAGCCCTGTATCATAAACCAGATCTGGCAGACAGCATGTCATGATCCCCTGAGCTTTTTTCACAAGCTCTGCTATGACCAACTTAACTAGGGAATGTTGCATTTCTTTGCACCGTTACTTGTGCTCCATTAATAATTAGTTTGCCAGGTACAGCAAATCAAAGTTATTTTGGATGGCCTTAATCTAATATAATTTTCCTCTGCAATTATATGTCCAATATAGTCGATTGTTGACAAACAATATTGAGCAAAATTAAGATTCACCAATCTCCCCATTCACTCAAAACAGCTTCTCTGTCTCTGTTGGTGAGAAGCATCTCCATAGCATGATGCTGCCCCCAAAAGATGTTTCCCTCTAGGGTTGGGGCGTTTAAGGTTGATGTGCCATGTTACTTTCCCTTCACCAAACGATCTAGAACAAAAGGTAGTCTCATCTCACAAAAGCCATCCATCCCTCCATCCATCTTCTCCCACTTATCCATCAGGGATAGTATCTCAAGCAGGCTATGGATGAAAGGCAGGGGACACACTGGTTAAGTTGCCAGTCTCTCGCATCTGGCAATAGTATTTATTTCAAAACCTTTTGTATTGTTGCCCTCTGTATATGGCTTATGGCAAAATGCAATTTGAACAATGGCCTTTATCTTGCCACTTCTCTGTAACTTTCATGGCTAATAGATGTCCTGTCAAGCGATAGATCCACCTGAGCTGCAGCCATATCATTATATAATCTATCTGTATAATATAATGTGGTTCTGATTCTTACAAAGAGGACGAATGTAGGTGTAGAAACCCACTGTCCTGCTGCGGTGCATCAGCACCAAGCAAGCAGCCACCAGATGAGGCCTCTCTTTCAACACTTGTCGTCTGAGAAGCTGGTGAACTACAGCCTCAAGGTGTCCTAAGGAAACCGCTGCCTCATTAGTTGCATCACTTCATTACAGTGCTACAGCTCAGCTTCAACAAGGTAAATAACAGAATTAATCAATTCTAGTCTTGCATCATATAACCTAACAGCATAAGCTTATCCTAAAATAGGGTTCATGTTTTTTTCACACTTTCTATTCACTGAGAAGTAGAATATTTTAGTTCAACTAATGAAGACAGGGCTACTTGTTCTTCCCAGAGCTACAATAATGGCCATCAAATCCAACCATCCATCCAGACCAATAAACCTAATAAGCAGCCAAGTGACCAGGCTGAGGAACACTGCGGCTGCATAATTCAATATAATTTAATAACATGCCCATAGATTTAATGGGCCAATAAAATATATTATCAAAGAACTATAAGAAATGTCATATAAATGGAACGGTGGATCTCCATCAATAAAATTAACATGATCAAAATTATTCAAAAAATACTGCAAAAAAAATAATAATTCCAACAGATTCCTAAACAAGAGATTCTTTACATCCGTTTGTTCATTTTGTCATTCAGCTAATAAAAAACATGTTTATCTGAAAAATAAATTCATATTGGACAAATACAATTACTTTCTAACAGAGAAACATCAGGTGCAAACCTTAAACAGAGGACTCAGATTTCTGCATTAAAAAACCTACAATGCAGCAATTGAGGTAATCCCTTCCCGCTATCATCGCAGCCCCACCCTCTGTTCAGGAGAGTGGAGGACCTCGTCTATTCAACTAGACCAACGATTCCCTTTAACGTCCCCTCTCTCAGACCCTTAGAAGGGTGTAGGGCAT